GGGGGAGGGTAGTAGTATGTGTGGGAAAAGGAGCGAGAAATGGGAGCTGTTTAGTAAATGAGTCAGTCACTGTGCAAATAAGTGAACCTGAAAATATGTGAGCATTAGAGCAGGCAAGCGAGTGAGGGAAAGAGAGAGTAAACGAGGCAACGAAAGGGCGGTAAGGGAGTGAGGGAATGAGTTGAAAAGATGAGAGTGAGTAAGGTAGTTTATGACGGAGGCCACGCTGGAGCACCATGGAGTTGCTACAGTTACACAATAAACCCCACCCTCCCCCAACCCTTCCAGGTACTGCACAGTTTGCCAACACCATGAAGTCTAGCCTCCAAATTTACCACGGAGTCGCTACCGTCCGGGACTGTCAAAACACGCATTCAGATTTCAGAACCTGAGTTAACGCGCATGGATCTAAACTGTCAAGTACAGGATGAACACCCCCCCCCCGGAAAAAACCCAACCAACCAAACAAACAAACAAACAAAACAAAAAAAACAACAACAAACAAATTGTACAACTTGTTTTATAAATATCTTCATCTATACTGAAGTTTGGGGTGTCCGATTTGAACATAATATTTGGAAGCCAAAAGGAATTTTTCTGATAATAATATTATTATTCATTTTAGATAAGCCCATTGGATGATTATGTTCTACATGGCGCATTAAAATAACAACCTACTCTCAAACTTGTCCCCATTTTCGAAGCATGACGCACCAGTTCGCATTAGGTCTACAACTGAAAGTTGCAACAATCGCGCCATATTGCAAGCTACAGCAGTTTAACAAGTCTATAGAAGTCTGCAGATACTATTTTTCTCCACGTTTTGTTTGCCTGCTGAGATCATGGTTAAGTTTAGTAAAGAGCAGAGAGCTTTTTGTATTAAACATTACCTCTCCACAAACTCACCATCCCTGACATTTCGTAAGTTCTGCGCACGACATGGAAATAATGCTTGGGTGCTCTCAAGACCTTAATTGTGTGTTATGTTTGGGTCTATGGCGAATCAGAACTAAAAATGTCCTTTAAAAATCAGGTCGAACACGCACTATGAGCGCAGGGGCGAAGCGTCTATATAATCAAATAATCACTGCTTCCCTTATTTTGTTGCTTGGTCTTTCATTTTTAAAAAAATGTTTTTTGTGTGAACCCGCCAACACCCCACCCATCTCCCT